CCTCCCCTCTGAGGTTGGAGGGTATTTTCTCCTGGTCTCTTCAAGACTTCATCACGGACACCCCCCCCCAAAAAAAAAACAAGCCTTTTCTCGCCCTTCCCTGCTAGCCAGCCTCCCTTCGCGAAGATCGTCGGATCCTTGGATCCAGGGTTGGGGTCAGGTAGTTAACAAGACCATAGCCTCCACCTTCCTTTCCGAGGAGTAGGGTAATTCCTATGGTTTCCCCCCCAGGATCAACCGACCCCCGTTTCCATGGAGACCCCCGCCCAGCCGGGAAGAAGACTCTCTCGGATCGTGGCGAACAAGACTCACCTGGCTAAGAGAGAAGGGGGTCGAGGAGGGGGTAGGGCAAGGCAGGGGATGGGGTACTAAGGTGGGAAGTGGAGGGGAGCTGTCCCGAAGGGAGGGGCGAAGACAGAGCAAGCTCCAGGGAGCGCTACGTCCGGGGACACGAAGAGGACGGCGCCCCCGGGGGGCAAGCCGAGCGGCCGCAGGGAGAAGAAGGGACAGGGTTGGAGAAAGGCTTAAGATAGAAAGAAGCGGGTGGGGGGATACGAAAAAGCCGGGGAGTCAAAAGGGGTGGAGGGGTTGGGGGAGAGAGAAAAAAGACGCACCTGTTCCCGGGTCGGCTCCGCGGGGAGGCTCAGGCCGCCACCCGGGCTCCCTCTTACTCCCTCTTAACCGTCACCCGCCTAATACTGCCCAGATCTGATGCCCCCCTCCGCCCCTTATCACCACCGACCTCCTTCTCCTCTCTCTCGGCGGCGGCGGCGGTCGGACTCTAGGAACTGAGAGGAAGAAGGGAGGGCTCAGCAAAGCGGAGGAGAGACAGAGCCACACACTGGCAGCAGCCGCGGCGAGCGAAAGAGTGAGGGGGAGAGCGGTGTGTGTGTGTGTCTGTGTGCGAGCGAAGCCTGGTGGAGTGGGTGCCGGTCGCAGGGCTCGACGGGAAGTGGAGTCCGGCTGGGTCCGCAGGCGGCGCCAACCCCCGCGCCATCGGACTACAACTCCCAGAATGCCGCCTACGCGGGTTGGGGGGAACGGGGAGGAGGAGGCGAAGGGAGGGAGCCTGCAAGAGAGGGAGGGACGAAAGCAGGGAGCAAGCGGCGGCGAAGGGGGCAGAGCCAAGCAGCCCCGGTGACACTGGGAGGGGAGGAGAGGAGGAGGGGATCGCTCAGAAGACCGAGCGGATTCTGGAGAGGGAGGCAGCAGTGGCTGCAGCAAGCCGGGCAAAAAGCTAGACTCCCGGGAGAGGCGGAGGCGCTCAATCTGCGGGGCTGCAGGAGCCCCACGCCCCCCCCCCCACCTCGACGTCCCTCAAAAGGGGAGGTTGAGGAAGGGAGAGGGTCAGTGAGTCGGGGCCAAGGGGTTCTCTCTCTTTCTTCCAAGGCTCTCCACCTTATGCCCAGACCTGACTTTCTCAGGCCACTGGTGCCGATCCAGTGTGCAAATCTGGAGACCCCAGATCTCCTCTGCCCGGCAGCACAAAACAGACGCATTCAGTCCCCTTCTCCCAGGGGCCTGAGGGAGGCTCCCCTTGCAGGCAGGGCGTGACTCCCCCTTCTTCCCGCCCCCCTTACCGTCGTCGCCACCCCCCCATCTCCCTCCCCGGAACCCCTCCCCTGAAGCCGGGGCTCGCCTCTCTCTCTCCCCGCCAAGACACGGAGTCCCTCTGGGGATGACTACCCAGCCCCCTCCCTTATACTGGGCCCCTACCCACCAGTATCCCCTTCTTAGCGTTGCCCCCTCACCGAAGTAATGGTGGGGGCGACCTGAGTTGTACTGGTTTCTACTTTCCCTCCGAGGCTAGCGGTCCTTCGCGAAGCCGACCCTGTGTAGAAATAGAGAAGCACATTAATACTCCCGTCCCCCCTCCCCCCCAGGTTTGGATACCCGTGGAAGTGGCTCACAAGAAAGAGGGGTTGGTAGTGGAAGTGAACTGGGGGTGAATCCCAATTTTCAAACCTCATCCCTGCCGTGGAAATCCAGGTATTCGTCCTTTTGCTTAAAAGCCATTAAATCGCTTGGGTGGGGGGGTAAATTAAGCCCCAATGTCCACGCGACTTGAAGCGACGCTACCTTGTAGGAATAAGATATGAACCAGGTTGCCGCCGCGAGAAGGAAAGTATACCCCCCGTCGCCGTCCACCCCCCAAAACACATACCCCTAGGAAAGTCAGATGGCTGAAGACGGGGGAAGACGATAGGAGTGCTGGAGAGTAAAAAGATCGTGGCAGGGAGGGTCCGTGGCCCCCCCACGAGAACAGAATCCAGATGCTAAGAGGTGGGTGGGGGGTGCGGCAAATCGTAGACGGTGTCTTTCCTCGCTTTTCCCGGAATCGCTGCCCGATCACCGTCTAACACTCGGAGTTGCTTACCACTCATTCCCCTAGCCCCATTTGTGCGCGTGAGGCGGCTGGAGCCCGGGAAGCCCGAGCACAAACTCCGCGGAAGCTGGCCTTCGCTGCCGCCGCGCGGCCGCGGGCCTCCCTCCCTCCGCTCGCGGCCCCGCCGATCTACCTTCGCCCCCGGCCGAGCCAGACCCCGCTCACAACTCCACGCCCCTACTCCACCCCCCGCTCTCCCTCCCCTCGCCCTCTCCCTGCGGGTCCGGCCCAGCCCCTAGCGCCGCCCCGCCCTACCGCTCGGTCCTGAGCCCAGCAAGTGCCCCGAACTCGCCCCCCGCCCCCACGCCCAGGCCAGTCCGGCCAGGCCTGGTTTCCCCCTCCCGCCGCGCCCCGCCCCCGAATCCACGTCCTACTTCGCCACCCAACTCGGCCCGGTCCCGGTTCGGCCCGCGCCCAAGCCACCGGAGTCCCCAATTCGGTCCGGTGTACGGCCACCTACCCCGCCCTTGCCTGGGTGCCGGCCTGGCCCGCTGCCTGCGCCCGCCGAGCTGGCCCAAGCGCGCGGTCCGGGTCCAGATCCAGGTGCCGGCCTCGGTCCCGGCAGTGTTGCCGCGACTCGCCACGAGGGCTCGTTCCACGCAAGATCGGAACCCACGCAGGGTGGGGGCCGCGGGAAGCAAGTTTCTTTATCCTCCCCCCGCCCCCGCCGCAGGGCCGCACCATTCCCCCACCACCCCCGCCTCACGGCGCCCCCTTTACCTGGGCAGAGCCCCCTGCCACTGTTGCAACTTTGCTCTTCTCCACGCCGCCGGGGAAGCGGGTGAAGCAGGAGGAGGGAGGTGGCGGGGGGGGGGGTGCCGGGATCAGGCCGCTGGGCTCCGGGAGGACACGTGGGGGAGGAGGGGAAGAAGGAGGAGGAAGGGGGGGCGGGCCTGCAGTTCTCGGGGCTCCCCCTGCCAGCCCCGGGCAAGCCGGAACCTCGCCGGGCAGCCGCAGACCCCGCACTGGCCACGGGGGAAGAACTGAGCCACCTTCCTTGGCCAGCCCCCGGCTCCAGGAAGGGGGGTCGAACAACGCGCCGTTCGAGTCGGAGAACGAGCGTTTTCGCTCGTGCTCTGTATGACTCTCTTCCCCCTGTTTAGCCTCAGTGTATGTTGGGGGGACGCGAAGGGTCTTGCGTGCGGTGGCCGGACGCCCCGCCCCTCCCCCGGTCCCCTACGTCCCCACCCTGGGCGACCTCAGTGCGTGGTTCTGGCGCTCAGGCTCCGAGGCCGCCCGCGGGAGCAGCCCCAGCCCCGGCGGGCGCCGAAGTGGGACAGGTGCTGGGGAAAGGAAAATGCCGGGGCTCGCCACCTCGCCTCTTGTCTCCCGGGCGGCCCACTCTTTGTGACAACCTCCCCAGCTGCAAACCCCCTGGGCCACCCTCAGCAGGCAGCCCCCACCTGGGCGTGGAGGCATCTGGAGATGGAGGGAGCGCGAGACCCAAGGGAGGAAGAAGGAGGAAGGGGATGAAAGGTCTGTTGTAAAGTGGGAAGCCTGCACGATTCGGAGCCAAAAGCCCAGCTCTAGAGGACTCGGATTCTGCCAGCTTTCCTTGGGCTCCTCAGTCACCTATCCGAGCCCCCTTGACCTTTACCCTTTACCCTAACGACTCCCTGCCTGGCCAAAGGAAAAAACCCTCGTGTGTGTTTACATCCCAGGCCATCCCTGGGACTGAAGGGCTGAGAAGCTTGCGGTCCACAGTCGAACTCTGATGACTTTACATTGACTCCGAAGAGAGCAGCCAGCAGCTTGCGAAGGAGCTGAAGCTGCCGGCCGATTTGCTTTCAGTCTTAGGGTGTTTCTTAGCAGCTGTAGCCCTGAGCCCCTGATAGGGACTTCAAAGGCATTGCCTCAGCCTAGAGGGTATTAGGGGAGGTGCCCAGCAGTTCCTGGAGGATTCAGTGCTTTGTAAACGGAATTTGAAATGAATAGCAGGAATTTGAAAAAAGTCTTTATGTGCAGATATATTGATATTATTTATTATATATTTGTCCATGCTGAGGAAGTCAGAGGGGTCATCTGGACTAGAAGGAAGCCCTGCTGGATTAATGTCTTCCTCCTCCTCTTCCCCACCCCACCTCCCTTCTCCTAGGCCCAGAGGTTCCATCTCTCAGCTGCGATGTGTCTTCTCTCCTTTAGAAGTACTTTGGAGATGGCAGTTGAGACTTGCCTGGTATGTCTCCCTCACCTGGCGTGAGGGATGTGGGTGAGCATTGGAGCAAGTTATCTAAGGCTGCAGTGGCTTTGCTGTGGCCTGAGGCCTGGTGTTCTAGGACCCCTCTTGCTTGTCCTCACCACCCTCAAAACCTATTGCCAGCAACGTGGATGTGATGCTGGCCATTCTATTTTGCTTTGGGAACCTCTCCTCAAGATATTCTACTTGGCCCCTACTAACCTTTCATGCACCTCATCCCCACTCCCTGCACACCGCATAAACACACACACACACACACACACACACACACACACCCCTACCTTAAAAAATATTTGGCCTAAGTTGCATCAAGGGGAAAGTGAAGGTCTGGAAATGATCTGTTTAAGCCAATCAATATATGAACTCAAAATCGTCTCCATGGGGCCTGATGATACAGACCCCACCAATTCTGCTTTGATTTAGAAAGAGTTTACTGTCATCGCTGCTTTTAATTAACCCAGAAATTACTAACTCTCCACTTCTTGAAAGCCCTTAGGGTGCTAGGGCTACTTTCCTCCTTGGTTTGAGGCCGAAGCAGATCCTGAACATCTCCATTCGCACTAGTCTGTGTCTCACCATTTGGCTGCCTCATTTGTCTGGTGAAACTAAGGTTGGGGCAAGATGATTATTTCCTGGCTGAAGCTCTCGCTCCTCTGAGCCCTTTCCTGTTGGGGGCCAGGCTTCCTGCCCTACAGGAGATGATGGGAAACCAAGGAGCAGGGTGGGGAGAGCTGTGGGAAACCCTGTGAAGAATGTAGATATTAATGATTATTTTATTTGAGGTTAGAACCACAACATAACCATAATAATAATACCTACCTTTGTATAGCATCAGAGTGTTTACAAAGCTCTTTCACTTGTGTTATTTCATGTGTTTCTCACTATAACTCTCCATATTGTAATTGAGGAAACTGAGTCTATGAGCATCTATGAGTGGCTTGCTCAAGGCCACATGGCTAGTGAGTTCCTGAGCCCAGACTCAACCCCAGTAGTCCTAACTCTATATCCAGGGTTTTTTTCGGTATGGTATAGTGCCCCCATGTCATGCCAAAATAGTTTTTTTTCAGGCAACTTCCGCCTCCTGGGTTCAAGCAATTCTCCTGCCTCAGCCTCCCGAGTATCTGGGACTACAGGTGCACCACCACGCCCAGCTAATTTTTGTATTTTAGTAGAGACGGAGTTTCACCATGTTGGCCAGGATAGTCTTGATCTCTTGACCCTGTGATCTGCCTGCCTCGGCCTCCCAAAGTGCTGGGATTACAGGCGTGAGCTACCACGTCTGGCCTGTTTTTCTTAATTATTTCTCTCATCAGTAATGTCTACTGACCCAGGTCT